GAAAGCCGGTGCATGGGCGACCAGCGCGGGGACCTGTGCGAATGATATAGGTGCAGCGAACCGGACCCCCAGACGCCCCACGCTGAGCATACCAGTCATGAAGCTGCTGAGACGTGGGGGTCTGACGCTGACGCTGCTGCTGCTGCTGCTGTCCCTGGCCACCACTGGAGCTCCCCTTCTGGCCGGCTCCACTCCAGCCCCCACCACCACTGCCACCACCGCTTCCTCCTCCCCCACTCCCGCCGCTGCCACCTCCACTGCCCCCGGTACCCCCGCCGCCCCCACCACCACCTCCACCCCCACGACCACCCCCACCACCTCCACCACCCCCGCCGCCTCCACCACCGCCCCCTCCATCGCCACCTCCACCTCCCCTCCCACCCCTGTTGCCCCTGGCACTGCGGCGCTTCCCACTAGGAGCGGAAGCAGCCCCGACCTCCTCAGCACCAAGGTAGTCGAGAGCAGCAGCAGCAGAGGCGTAGGAGGGGGCAAGAGGGGAGGGGGAGCACCCCTCAAAGAGGGGAGTGCGAGGAGTACCACGAGCAGCACCTACAGCGAGAATGTTCTTTTCGGCTGCTAGGAGGTGCGTCTCGAAGTCGGCGACAGTGAGAGTGGTCGGGTCTAGGGCGAGAAAGTGGTCCCTGACTGAGTGAAGAGTGTCAGGGAGGCGGGTGATGAGGAAGAAGAGAGTAAAGTACATCAGGGGGTGATTCTCGGCGAGGAACTCGTCTGAAAGGGCGGCACGAAAGCGAGCGTCACTAGCGCGGAGGTGAGAGATGAGGTCCTCAGCGGTGGTAAACGAGGACAGGTTGGGGAACAGGTAGGGTAGCATAAGACGACCAAGGGCTGCAGTGGCTGGGGAAGAGTAGCGGGCAACTACAGCCTCATACAGTGCCTTAGCAGTCTTGTGCTGACTAAAGTGCGCGTGCTCAGTGATCGGCAGATGGTTGCGAATAGCGAGGCGCGCAGCAGCATCACGAGTCTGTCACTGTGAGCGGTCAAGAGCGGAAGCAGTGTCAGTAAGAGCAACGGAAGTGCCAGACGCGTGATCGAACAGTGAAACTCCGTCTTTGGCATCAGTCATAAGAAACAGTTGCAGGTCGTCGAGCCAAGTGGCAAACTCTATCGGGCGACCGTCAGGATCGAAAGCGAGGACACTTAGAGTCGCCATGATCGCAGCGCAGGTAAGAGTAGCGCGCATGCGGCAAAGCAGAGTGCAGGCCAAGAGAAGCTGCGCGCAAGGCTGCAGTGGCGGCGCACGAGCTGCTGGGGCGGCGCGCAAGTGGCTAGGGCGGCGCGCAGGGCAGCCGCAAGGCGCGCGCAGGCTGCTGAAGCGGCGCGCGGGCGGGTAGGGCGGCACGCGGGGCAGCAGCGGCCCGCGCGCGGGGCAGCAGCGGGCCGCTCGCGGGCTCCTAAGGCGGCGCGCGGGGCAGCAGCTGGCTGCGCGCGGGTAGCCTGGGCGGCGCGCAGGGCAGGAGCAGGCGGCGCGCTCGGGACTAGGGCAGCGCGTGCAGGCAAGGCAGAGGCGCGCGCGGGCAGCGCAGCGCAGGCAAGGCAGGGCGCGCGCGGGCAGCGCAGCGCAGGCACGACGTGGGGCAGCTCAGTAACCGCAACGGTAGGTGGGCCCTAAGAAAAAATCGGTCCTACGGACCTACTGCTCTGAATACCATGTCAGAAACAACTAGCAGGAATGAATGAACTAGGTCAAAGTTTGGTACAAGTATGAAACCCTAAAGGGGCTATACCCCATATTAGCTACCCCACTACAGCCTACACATATGTAGCACATATATAATTTGACACCCTGATTGCTTAGTGATGGGATAATGAACTCTGATTGTTCAGGGTCCAGAACTCAGCACCAGGGTTGTTGTAACGCGCTCTTTGTTTTCCGGGGAAACATTTCCCATTGTGCATTATCACAACTCAGCGCACCATAATTTCGGATGCACCTTGTGCGCGCTAACCTCAGCCCCTTGACTTTGACTTTGTACTTATCCACCCGTTTTGGTGCGGGGAAGAGACAAGCGAGTCAGGTCAACCTATAGTGCAATGTGTCAGAACTAAAGTGCAAGAATGATGGACTAAGATGAGAGATGAGTACGAGTACTAGGTCTAACCCTAAAGTGTTGTACTCAGTAGAGGCTATCCCACTATAGCCTACAGACATACAAACACAGTTTGACACACCCCCACAGGCAAAGTGGGGGATATCAAGAACAACCAATAGTCACAAGACCATTCAAGCAAGAGAACAAAGCAAAGCAAAGCAAAGCTCATAGTGGATCTCAAGATCACCACGCAGTCTGAGCATAAGCAAGCGGCCGCAAGGCCGGTTCTCATGCAGAGTTATAAACACAAGCAGAACAGTGATCACAACCTAGCAAGAGCAGCATGCAATTATATATATAAAGATCACAGTACAAGGCAGAGTCAAGCAACCAGCAGGTGAGGCAGAGTAGGTACAAGGTTTAGAGCGGTGCAGAAACGCTGATGATCACCGGACCCAAGGGCCTTGGTGAAGACATCAGCAGTGTTGGCTTGGAAGGACATGTACACAAGGCGAAGCTGACCACGCAGATGCAACTCTCGAGCAAGAAAGTAACAAAGAGCAATGTGCTTCGTTCTGTACTCCAGTCTCTGCTCCCGACACAAGGCAATGACCTTGTTGTCAACGTACAGAATTGGAGGAGAACGAGGCTACTCACGTCAAGTCGGTTAGCAGGTAGGTCAGCCAGCATAACTCCTGTGCAGCCATAGCCCCAACGTAGATCTCGGCCTCACAGATGGAACCAAGCACACAAGATGAAAGAGTGGACATCTTGTCCAGCTATATTTGCTATAGCTTATATTTGTTAGTCTAGGTGTACATTCTTGACGTAGGGTAATGTTAGGGTTCACTGGATATATCTTGCTGTATGTTTCATTCCATAGTTAACTTTTACATTATGATATGGTATAGAGCTAGGTTAACCCTAGCGAGATTTCCCCCTTAGGAAAAATCACTCGACTAAGTTATGGGCCCACCTAGTCGCGCCCCGTCCTAGACCGCCCGTAGCATGCTTACCTTAGGCCCCGTCGCCCGTAGACCCCCCCCCCCCCGTCGCCCGCCCGTCGCCCATTTCCCCCCGTAAATCGCGGTTCAATTTTCCACTTTTTTTTTTTTTCCGTCACCCGTCACCCATCGCGGCCTTTCGTTAGCGGGCCCCGCAGCCTTTCGTTAGCGGGCCCCGCGGCCTTTCGTTCGTGGGCCCCGAGGCCCCTTCGTTAGCGGGCCCCGCGGCCCCGTCGTTAGTCGCACGCACGCACTGCAGCAGCCGCGCGCACGAGCGACCCATCGTCCCACCCGTTTCCCGCCGTCGTAACCGCCGCCCCACCTGTTAGACGCGGCCCCACCCGCTGCCTTACCCGCCGCCTAGTCTGAAAACCGACACCCAAGACCTGAACCCGTCGTCCCAGACCTGAAAACCGCCGCCCAACCTGGAAACCCGCCGCCCCAGACCTGAAAACCGCCGCCCCACTTGGAAACCTGCTGCCCCACCCGTTCCAGTCACCTCACCCGGAATCAGCGGCCCCACCCAGTACTATCAACCGCACAGAACCGCACAGAACCGTGCAGAATCGTGCAGAACCGCACATAACCGCACAGAACAGCCGCCCCACCTGACACCTGCCTCCCCACGAGCTGCCACACCTGCCGCCAGTAGCACCAGCAGATTATACTGCCGCCGGTAGCACCAGTAGCAGCTTCCACTGCCGCCAGCACATTGGCAGCAGCCTAGACTACCGCCAGGAAAACCAGCAGCAGCATAGGCTGCCCCCAGTGCACTAGCAGCAGCTTAGGCTGCCCCCAGCAGAACCAGCACACTGGACAAGCCTGTTGCCTCTTGCACAGTAGGTGCCACTGGGGCGCCTCTGGCCACTTTCCACAGAGAGCCGGGCTCTGGTTTGTACTCACTACACACTGGGTCCCAACATACTGAGTCATGTCAGGTCAGGTCAGGTCAAGTACCTGCTGTGTCGTGCGACTGTCGGTCACTCACCCACCCGTCGGCCTCTGGCACCACCGTCTCGGTCACCCGTCCTTCCCACGTCTCAGTAGGATGGTACGTCACCGTCTGGTCTCAGGTCTCCCAGTGTCGCTTGCCCCGCATCCTTGCTCGACTGCGCCGCCGTGCACTCCTTGCGTCGGGGGTCGGCAGCGCGCCGCCCCCCCCCACCACGGCTCCCTTCCAGACCCTGCACTTGGACGTTTGGGGCCCCTCCCCTGTCCTTGGCCCACGTCAGGAGCGCTACTTCCTGATTGTGGTGGACGACTATTCCTGGTACACCACGGTTTTCCCCTTGCGACGGAAGGCCGACGTGCCTACCGTCCTCGAGCCGTGGCTACTAGCGTGGGGTGGCGCCCATGGCCTGTTTGGGCTTCGCCTATACTCGGACCGTGGTGGTGAGTTTTCCTCCACTCGCCTAGAGACGTTCTGTCAGGTTAGGGGAGTCATTCAGTCTTACACACTACCAGCCTCGCCGCAGCAGAACGGGGTAGCCGAGCGAAGCATCGGCCTGGTTATGGAGGTCACCCGGACCTCCATGTGCCATGCCGGTGCCCCTCAGTTTTTGTGGCCTCAGGCAGTCCGCTACGCCGCGCACCAGCTGAACCTGTGGCCCAGTGACTCACGGCCACGGGTGACGCCGGTCTCCCTTTGGTCAGGTTTACCAGGCGTAGTAGCTGACTTCCGCGTCTGGGGTTGTCTGGCTCACGTTCGCGCCCCTGGCGCGAACAAGTTGTCTCCGCGCACTCGTGCCTGCGTCTTTCTTGGCTTCCCTTTGGACGCCTCCGGCTGGGTGTTCTACGACCCGGTCACCCTCGGGTTCTTCGCTTCTCAGGACATCACGTTCGACGAGTCTGTCTGTTACTACAGGAGTCGCCCCCACCGAGGTACTGAGGTCTTTTTCCCCCCCGCTGTTCCTTACCCTTGAGCCCCCCCCAATCGCCCCGGTAGCCCCCACCGCTTTGCGTCCTGCCCCATCAGGTATGTCGCACGTCACTCCGCAGTCGTCCCCCCCCGCAGCGTCCAGTCCCTGTCGTGTCTGGGGGTGCGGGAAGTGCAGTTGCGGAGGGTGAGGGTGCTGGGGCTGCAGGAGCTGGTTCTTGGGGTGCAGTGGGCGTGGGCGTGGAGGTCACTCCCGTGGAGGACACGGCAGCCTCGAGTCGGCGGCCTTGCCCCGCGTCACCCCCTGGCTTCCCGGTGGTCCAGCAATTCCCTCCTCGTTCTCCTCTGCGGCCGGTTGCTGCGGAGCCTGGGGGTGTTCCTACAGGAGGTACTGGAGGCCCCGGGGGTGGCGCTGGTGGAGGTGTTGGTTCTGGGGGTGCTGGAGCTGGAAGCACTGGCACTGTGGCGCCTACACCACGCACTGTACGTTTCCTAACCCGTGAGCAGCGTCTCCTCCGGTTGGAGAGGGAGGAGCGTGAGCGGTTTGAGAGGGCACAGTAGTAGCAGCAGCAGGAGAGAGTAGAGGAGGAGTCATAGCAGCAGCACGAGAGGGTAGTGCAGGAGTCCCAGTCGCAGCAGCAACCGCAACCGCAGCAGGAGAGAGTAGAGGAGGATTCACGGCCACACCAGGAGAGGGTCGAGCAGGAGACCCACCCGCAGCAGCAGGTGCAGTTATAGGCACAGCAGGAGAGAGTAGAGGAGGAGTCACGGCCGCACCAGGAGAGGGTAGAGCAGGAGTCCCACCCGCAGCAGCAGGTGCAATTACAGACCCAGCAGGAGAGCGTAGAGGAGGAGTCACGGCCGCAGCAGGAGAGGGTAGCGCAGGAGACTCGGTCGCAGCAGCGGGTGCAGCTACAGTCGCAGCGGGAGAGGGCAGAGGCGGAGCCACAGGAGCAGCAGCAGGGGCCGGTACCGTCGCAGCAGACGCCAGAGGAGGCGGAGCAGCAGCGACTACAACTACGCGACCTCCCGACCCAGCACCTGCACGCTTTGTTCGTGGTCCCCTGCCGTCCCCCCCTGTTCCCCCCGTCCAATTTCTTTCCTCATCCTAGTGGACTCGTCGTTCTCCCCTCAGTCGTCCTGTGTCTCCAGAGCCCCGTCGGTCCCGTTACCGTGCAGACGGTCCGTTTCACCTCGTTCTCCGCTCACGTGTTCCACCTCCTCTTGTCCTCCCACAGCCTCCAGAGTCGTCCCTCACTGTGTTTCACGACCCGTTGTCCGACTACCTTCGTGCCTCTCGTCCTGTCGTCCGCGTTGGTCACTCACCCGATTACACCTCTGTCTCGGCACTTGTTACCACTGTCGCTGGCTTTGCCTCTTCCCACCGCCTTGTCTACGCCGCTCACTTGGTGAGTGGCCCTGCTCGTTCTCTGTTCTCTGGGGGTGCTCTTGTTTTTCCCCTGGAGGTCCTCGAGGACAGGCAGTTCGAGCTTGGTTTCCTCGCGGCCGCTGTTCCTCATCTCTGCGCCATGCTGCTTGCCCCTGAGGGGGATCCAGATGCTCTTGACATCCCGATCCCTCGCACTCATGCTGAGGCGGTCTCGGGACCTTGGGGCCTCGTACTGGATAGCAGTTGAGGAGGCAGAGATGGAATCTTATAGGTCCACATGCACTTACGTCGACGCCGTCCCACCACCTGGGACGAACGTCGTCAGTGGCCGATGGCTCTACAAGGTGAAGCGGCCACCTGGATCACCACCAGTGTTCAAGGCGCGCTATGTGGCGAGAGGCTTCAGTCAGCAAGAGGGGGTGGACTTCTTCTAGACCTTCGCTCTTACCCCGAAGATGAGTACTCTTCGGGTGTTGCTGCATATTGTAGCACAGTGCGACTACGAGTTGCACTCCTTGGACTTTTCCACCGCGTTCCTTCAGGGGAGCCTGCACGAGCAGATCTGGCTGCGTCGCCCGCCTGGCTTCACTGGCTCTTTCCCACCTGGGACCCAGTGGCAGCTGCGTCGACCAGTCTACGGCTTGCGTCGGGCTCCACGTGAGTGGCACGACACACTGCGCTCGACCCTTGCAGCGCTTGACTTCTTTCCGTCGTCTGCCGACCCGTCACTGTTCGTCCGTCGTGGCTCGACCCCGTTCTTTGTTCTTGTTTACGTTGACGACTTGGTCTTCGCCACTCCCGACCGACACGCTCTGGCCTCCGTGAAGGAGGAACCGCAGAGGAGACACACTTGCACTGACCTTGGTGAGCTGCAGCACTACCTTGGCTTGCAGATCACTAGGGAAAGAGTAACTCACACCATTACGCTAACGCAGTCGCATATGGTCGAGCAGATCCTCACGCGGTTCTGCTTCCCGTTCTCCAAGGTACAGCTCACCCCTCTTGGTGTGGATCATGGGCTCACGGCTCCACCTTCAGACGAGTCATTTGAGTCCAGTGGTCCATATCCTGAGCTGGTGGGTTGTCTCATGTACTTGATGACCTGTACTCGCCCAGACCTAGCTTACCTTCTTAGCGTCCTGGCGCGCTTTGTTGCGCCTGGGAGACACCGACCATCCCACTGGTACGCTGCTAAGAGGGTGGCGAAATATGTGGCGAGTACATCAGGCATGGGACTTGTCCTTGGACGGAAGCAGCCAGTTACACTCACAGGTTACTCAGACTCGTCGTGGGCCGACGACGCGGAGACGCGTCGGTCTACACAGGGGTACTCCTTTAGCCTCGGAACAGGTGCTGTATCGTGGCGGTCGACACGGGCGTCGTGCGTCACCGGTTCCAGCTGTGAGGCAGAGGTGTACGCTACGGCCATGGCCGCTCAGGAGCTTCGCTGGTTGTCCTTCCTTCTCACCGACCTTGGTGAGCGGCCTCGCTCTCCCCCAGTCTTGTTCGCCGACAACAGGTCTGTTGTCTTGTTGTGTGAGGAGCCCCGACTGGTTGGGAAGGCGAAGCACATCCAGCTTCGTTACTTCCTTCTGCGTGAGTTGCAGCAGCGTGGCCAGGCACTCGTTCGACGTGTGGTCTCTGAGGCCAACACGGCAGATATCTTCACCAAGGCGTTGCCGCCTTGTGACCACCAGCGTTTCTGCACCCAACTTGGCCTTATGCCTACCCGTCCTCACTTGCTTACGTAGAGATGCCTTGTCCTGCTTGTCTTGAACTCTTGCATCTCTTAATGTTTGCTGTATATGCATGTGGACTGGCCTTGTGGCCTCTTGCTTGCTCTCGAAGTATGTGGTGACTTTGAGCTCCACCCTGAGATTTGTCTTATTCTTGTGGACTGGTCTTGTGACCCTTGCTTATTCTTGCTGACTGGTCATGTGACCCTTGCTTGCTCTCAGCCTGTGTGGTGTCCTTGAGATCCACCCCGAGCTCTGTGTTTCTTTCCATAGGACTACCGTCATCTAGACTATGGGGGTGTGTCAAGCTATATTTGTTATAGCTTATATTTGTTAGTCTAGGTGTACATTTTTGACCTAAGGTTATGTGAGGGTTCACCGGATATATCTTGCTGTATGTTTCATTCCATAGTTAACTTTTACATTTTGACACATCCACGAAACAGAACCAGAGTCGAGAATGAAAGAGTAACCCTGTGACGACCGCTGAGTCGCCTGATCAACAGCCCAAGAAGCATCGGAGTGTCCTGTGAGTACCTTTGGACCCCGTCCTCCAAGCATGAGCCCCATGCCCGATGCAGTACCATCAGCGCAACTGTCTAGTGCTCCTTCCTGTGTCTCCCGGGCGCAACGAAACGAGCAAGGATGCCGAGAGTGTACGCGAGGTCAGGTCGAGTGCACATCATCAGGTACATGAGGCAGCCCACAAGCTCTGGATACGGACCACTCGGCTCTACAGACTCGTTCGAAGGTGGAGCTGAGACCAAGTGGCCTGTAGGCAGAGGAGTAGGTTGTGGCGAGGAGAACCGAAAGCCTTAGCGCTGAAGGACCTGTTGCACCATGTGTGACTAAGTCAGGGTGATGCTATGCCTTGCTCTGTCCCGGGTGATCTGCAAGCCAAGATAGCTACGCAGATCACCCAGGTCAGTGCAAGTGTGTCTCTTCTACAGCTATGCCTTCACAAAAGTCAACGCCTCATTGTCGGCAGTAGCAAAGACCAAGTCGTCGACATACACAAGGATGTAGAACGACGCCAGAGAAGGGTCGGTGTGCAGAAACATCGACGTGTCAGCAGTCGAAGGAGCAAACCCAAGAACCGCAAGTGTCGTCTTCAGTGTGTCGTGCCACTCGCGGGGCGCCTGGCAGAGACCGTAGACTGGCCTCCGGAGGCTCCACTGGGTACCCTTAGGAAACGACCCAGTGAAGCCAGGTGGGCGGCGCAGCCAGATCGCCTCATGAAGGCTGCCCTGCAAGAAAAATGTGGAGTAGTCGAAGGAGTACAGCTCGTAGTCACGCAGTGCTGCAACGTGCAGTAACATCTAAAGAGCAATCATCGTCAGGGTGGGGGAAAAGGTCTGGAAGAAGTCGTCCCCTTGTTGCTGACTGAAGCCTCGAGCAACATAACGCGCCTTGAAGGCAGTCGGAGAACCCGGCGGCCGCTTCACTATGAAAATCGACATGCGATCGACTATGTTTGCCCCAGGAGGGGGAACCTCGTCAACGTAGGTGCATGTGGACTTCTAGAAAGCCATCTCTGTGTCCATGGCTGCCTGCCACTAAGAGGATTACTCACCCGTGATCGCCTCTGCGTACGAGCCCGAGGTAGGGATGTCTGGTGCATCCGGGGCTCCCTCAGGGCAAAGCAGCATAGACGGGAGACGAGGTAAAGCGGCCGCGAGGCACTCGAGCTCAAACTGCCTATCCTTAAGGACGTCACTGCTAAGGGCAAGCTCACCCCCGATGGACGGAGGACAGGCAGACTCAAACTTTGTAACAAGACTCGCGACGTAGTCGAGACGACATGTAGCAGCAAAGTCTACGAGCTCAGTGACTAAGGCAGACGCAGTAGTAGACTCAAAGGAAGGGTCAGTGACCAAGGTGGCCAGGAGACGAGTGAAGATGGGACTAGCAGCACGAGCAAGGTCGGACTCGGTCGGGAACGTCAGGAAAAGAGGACGCCGGAGTAGACGGCAGAGCAACAAGCTGTGGAACGGAGGAAGGACGAAGTGCCATACTGTGCGTGCCGGGGACAGGTGGAGGACGAGGACGACAAGCACGACTAACAGTGCGAACAGCGGAGGCAGGACGAGACTTAGGCTAACGACGCTCTGCCAAAGAGCCTGTCTGCGAAGGGCAAGGAGAAGGAGCAGGCAGTGGAGAGCCAGGCAGTAACTACGGCGGTGACTGGTCAGGCGAAGGACACAAGAGAGGCGGAGTAAGGCCAGTGGAAGACGGAAGACTAAGAACCTGACGAAGTGCCGAGCTAGGCGGTGGCAGGGAAGAATGCGGCTGCGGGTAGAAAAACGGTTGTCGAGGCGCAGTACCCACAGTACCAGAGCCTCCTAAACCTCTAGCTCCAGCACCTCCAGCTCCAGCACTTCCAGCACCAGCAGCTCCACGACCTCCAGTACCAGCAGCTCCAGCACCTCGAACAC